TTGAGAAAGGATTTGAGTGAAGCAAATCATGGGTTTACAATTTCTAATTTAGCTTTGGTAAAGAATCGGGAAGTATTAGTAAAATTGAGGTTTAAGATAGTTTACAGCAGATATTTTTTGAGCGTTTGCAGAAATTCTCTAATAAAAGTTAAGAATTGCATTTGTGAGTGAGAATAAAAATTGTACAATTGGTATATTTATTATAATTACAGCAATATAAAAAAGTTGCATTCGAACTGGTTTTGATTCATGCACAAAACAAAAAAAAGCGATAAATTTGGTTGTAAATTGTTTTTAAAATATTTGTTATTGTAAGTAGATATAATGTTAGGTGATGGCAGAATTAAAGCATGCGTGCCAATTCGTCCTACTTTCATAGTATTGCAAAAAATGAACCGTGGTATAAAATAAAAATTTGACAATTTAATTAATAAAAAGGTTTTTGTCTACTTTGTGTCACGTGATTTTTTATTCGATTTTTATTGGTTTAGGATATTTACGGGGGAATATTAATTATAAAAAATAAATTATTTATGTTGATAGGAATATTAATGAGGGTCTATAATAAAGTTGATATATATGAGGAAATTTTCATATATAGAAATTTATCATGTAGATAAGGTTGATAATAACAGGAGATTGATATTAACGAAGTTGATATTAACGGAGGACAACTGTATAACAAAAATTTGATTTCAAAATTCAATTCCGAATTTTTGACTAAATTTAGATCGAATTATTTTAGAAATCGGCAGGGTCAAATTTTATAAAATTTATCTGTCTCGAATTATTCTAGAAATCACTGAGATTGAATTTGATTAAAATTCAGCTGTTGAATTTTTGACTAATTTAGGTTAAATTATTGAAGAAATCGGTATAGTTGAATTTGATTAAAATTTAGTTGTTGAATTTTTTGACTAATTTAAGTCAAATTATTGAAGAAATCGATATAGTCGAATTTTATTAAAATTTAGTTGTCGAATTTTTGACTAAATTAGATTGAATTATTGAAAAAATCGGTATAGTTGAATTTTATTAAAATTTAGTTGTCAAATTTTTAACTAAATTAGGTTAAATTAATGAAAAAATTGGCATAGTCGAATTTTATTAAAATTTAGTTGTCAAATTTTTGACTAAATTAGGTCAAATTAAGGTTAAAGCAACCAAATTTTAAAAAAAGCAACCAATTTGTTACCGAATGTTATTATAATTCGACCAAGTCGAATTTCTAGTTTTCGACCAGTATTTACAACTCAAATTATTTCTTGGAAGAATATAATCTTAACAAAATTAGCCAGTATTATCTATAATAGTAATTAGTTTTGTCAAAATTATACGTATTTAAAAAATACCTTTCAGGAAGTTATATTATTGATACCAATAACTACAGAAAAACTCATAGTTAGTGATCACGATTTGAAAATGATCAAATAAATAATTATTAAACTAGTATACCTCACAATATCAAGATTATAATATCATAATATATATTGATTGCAAAATTAAAATTTCTATTATAATACTTAATACAATAGAATAAACTATGTTATTGAAAAAATAAAGCATTATATAAATGGTTTATTAAAACCACACCCTCTATCTAATTACTTCTTTGGACATCTAGGCTGATAATATTCATACTCTCTACAATTTCTACACTGATTCTGACACTTAGCTGGTATTGGTTTCAATTCTTCTGATTGTTTAATTCATTTAGAACTTTTGGAATATCCTTTTGCTTTATATCATTTGAGGTTTTGAAGAGAGATTTCAGCCAATAGATCATTTTCTTTATTGTCTTTATTGTTATCTAAATCATTATTATCATTACTGCATATTTTACTATCATCATTATCAAAGCTATCTAATAACACATCTTCTTGCAATTCAGTTAATAAATCCAGTAGTTTCTTAAAAATATTATACTGGTGAAATTGAACTGCTCTTTGTATAATATCTTATGCTACTTCCACAGCTCTTCATACAATTTTCTTTTACTAATATCATCTTTTCTATTATTTTGAAGATCGGCTATAGTTATAAACAATTTATTGGTATTATCTCTTATTAGCTCAACAGGTTGGTATTGAAGATAGTTTTTACTAAATTATGTAGCAATATAATAGAGCTCTTCTTGTAAATTGCTATGAATATCATTATACTATTTTCTGTGAATATATGTAATATGAAATGCAGCTATAGGACTATATAATATTATCTAAAAAAAGTAGTGACAAACTATTCTATGATTTACAAGTCCTAAGCAAAAATATATATAAGTTTTATCAGAAAGAAGTATTACAAAATGACAAAATTTTGATGCTGTAATTATACAAATAGCTCAGATTTTCTTGATTTTATTAACATTCACATTTCTTAACACATAGTTTACAGAAATCTGCATTACATCTTCGTTATTTTCAATAAATTGTATAGTATCTGATTCGGGCTTAGATAAAAAAATTCTGTAAATATAATGTCAATTAGAATAATAAATTTAAAGACAATATAATGCATATCTCTTGATATTTAATTAGCTCAGCTTTTGTAATTAAGGATGCTTGATAATTTAAACAACTTTTAATCTCAATATGTTGAACTTTTAGTATTGCAGGTGTAAGAAAATAGCTCAAAGCCTTGTTAACTTTAGGAAATAATGCTTGTGGTAATGTAATAACAGAAGATGTTAATAGAATGAGTTTTTCAATAAATGTATTTAGTTTTGTTGCTTTCTTCATTTATATTTGTTTCTAAAGCTTCAGCAAGTTCTATAAGACTAATATTAGAATTCAAAACTAATTACTTTATTTAAATATTATAGCTCTCAACTCTTGATATTGTTTGAATACTGGCTATAAAAACTTTAGCTGTATATGTACATGCCCACACATGTTTTGATGAATATAATATTTGCAGATATTTGATAACCCTAGAATCATTATACTTTTCAGTCAATTGTATTTACTTATGTTCAAAATATCTGGAATAAGTGAATTTCAAGCTATATAAAAATTCTTAACAAATTTATTATATTGTTGACCCAATCGGGTCTCAAGATTTTGAGGGAGATTTTGTAATATATGAAAAATACAATATATAGCATAAGATTTTTCATACTTCTCAGAAATAGCAAGATTCAAAGCCAAATCAGCATTAGTCATAACAACCACAGGTATGCAACCACTTGTAGCAAGTTTTGTTTAGCATAAAATCCATTAATAAGAGTCTGCCAACTTATCATCTATAAGAGCATATCTAACTAATCAGGAAAGTCTATGATTATTAATACATAAAAAAGTAAGAGAGCTATATCATAACAATTTGTTTTAGCAGTATTATCATTTAAAATGATTTTGCTAAATTTTATCTAGAAAATAATTTGATTAAAGAATATCCAAAACAATCTTCAGAGATAATACATTTCTCTGTTTCAATCAATTGCAATGTACTAGCGAGGATCTTCTTTCTTTTTTCTTAGTAAATCCTCATATAGAAATGCAGTATCATTAGAAATATCTTTCCATTTCTCACAATAAAATTTTGCAGTTGCCTTGTGAACTTTAGAAAAATAAAATTTATGATTAGGAAATTCTTTCTCTAAAGCTTTTTTAATCTGTAATAGTTTTAGCTTAATCATATTGATATAAAACTCTATATATTTATATATTTTTTGTGTAAATTCAATGCTGTTAAAAAATTTTTCTCTATTAGGAGATAAAGTATGATTATGCATATTCTTTAGAGTTGTAATATAAATGATACTATGTGGATTGTCCTTTGTTGGCTATAACAAGTTTATATGCTATAGGCACTTTATGTACTTAGTATTCATTTCTTTAACCAATTGCTAGTTTCTTGGTTTATACTTGTCACTATGCTCACAATCTATTGTTCATTTGCGTATAACCCTGTCTGAAGTTTTTTTGCTACAGCCTTTTCTTAATTTAAATTCTTCCTGTTGTGCATATATTTTTATTACATCTAATGCTTCTTCCCAACTTTCAAACATCACTCTTTTACGTAACTTTTTTTTAGAAAAGCTCAACTCCTCATTCTCCTGAATAGCAATTACAGAATTATATGTTGATCTATCATCATGCTTAAGATCATCCAAGTTGTTATTCTTATTATACATTATAATAAAGAATGTATATAAAATAGTGTGAATAAATATAAGCATAGAGAATAAATAAATGTAAGCATTAATGTAGTGTAAATTATAATGCTCTTATTATCTATAAAATATTTACTTCTGTTAAAATTGAATTATATGATATTACAATTAAATACTTAAAGGTTTTAAGTGTAACTTTAATATATATAATTTGGCTTTTTACAATATATTACTAGATTTTTGTTGAATATACCTTTATTACAGATTAATTTTTATTATGGTTATCTTTTATTTTTGGTCATGATTATACTTATTTGATCATGATTCTGCTTTATCTTTGTTACAGAATATATTCACCTTCATCACAGAGTATGTTTTGCCTTCATTGTAGAGTAATACTTTATTTTTTTCATTGTAGAGTATATCTTACTTTTATTGTGAGATATATCTTACTTTGTTGTGAGGTATCTCTTATTACTAGGTTTATATATTTGTTGCTTTCTATATTATTAGGTTGAATAATTCTCTTGTTGCTTTTGTTCATTTTTTAATTACTAGTTTATTTAACATTGTCAATTTTTGTAAGGCTCAGATTAAAGCTTTTACTTTATAAAGTATTATAACCAAGTTGATTTTACAGAAATTAAAAATAAAGAGCCTTTGTATCTACCTTTATTTTTTAAAAAAAAATTAACTGCTTC